ATATATATATATATATATATCAGTGCTAATGTCCGAATCTGGCTACTTCTCAAATTAGCCAGTTAATGTTCACATGTCTAAAATAGATATAACTTGGGAGCATACTTCTCACGGACCGAATTTTACCCGAATGAAGCTGACATTAGTTAACACATGATAGCTAGAGTAGATAAAGTAAGTTACGATTAAAAAATGTTTATTTGATTGTTTTGTACATGATCAATTTGACAACTATACATATGTATTGCTGGCTTAATAAATAAAACTTAACCTAACAACACTGGCACAAGGTTGAGGAAACCATGATGGCACGTCATAGGATCTACTGTAGATCTCGAGACAATTCACAGAATATGTTATATGGATATTTATTTTTGATGCGAATAGGATGGATCGGGTTTTTCCTGAGTTTGAACGAGGATAAAGTATCGATATGGTGTATTTTAGAGAAAAAGTTGTGGGATAGGTAGGTAATGTGGTAAATGATGGAATCGGGGTTGAATTCATTGTGTAATTGGTGATTAGATATGGATCAGTATGCATTAGTGTTGTGCGAAGAAATTGGTTCTGAATCAATTGAATTTTGTTGATGTTTGTTTTTGCAGCATTAATATCATACTGAGCAGGCGTAGAGAAGAGTCTGTCTGATTATTGTTATATATAATATTATTGCTGTTTTGTATGGAAGGTAATTATTCCTATTAATTAGATTTTTTAATTGAATGTGTTTTTAGTTTGTATTTTGATGTATGTGTTGTTTGCAGTTCATTTTTGGGTCCATGCGCAATCCAAGATATTTACAGGGCCTATTTGGGGTACCATGGAATGGGCTTATTATTTAGTAAGTTACGATGACGAAAAATATTAGATGTGTGATAAAAAGAGATCACATTGCTGGTAGAAAATTTCTAAACCTAAGTAGAAATTTCCACAGTGTCAGTATCCCTTGTGTCATTATTTTCATTTGCACGAACCCCTTCCATTTGCGTAACCTAATCTCAATTTACACCTTAACTGACACTTTGCTATGTATTTCCGAGTTGGCGACGAGGCTGCAGCCTTTGAGGTGTCATATAAAGAGCCTTCAGTCTGTGCAATGAATTATTTACGACGAATTTTATTTTTATGTCAAAATACTTCCTGTAAACATACAAGCGTCATACTCGGGCGATCTCTTTAATTGAACCGAAGCTTTGTGACTAATGTTAGTATTAGCCGAATGAAGTTCTAAATGATCCAATCATCGCCATTTATTCATTCATTCATTTATAAATCTACCACTGCGTATCAATTCCTAAGTAGATAAAATAATTATCTCATACGCATTTATCCACTCCGTCGCCACTCATCTCCACACCACCAGACGGTGTAGATACTCCTAACATTAATCACATTTCCGACTTAACTCGAAATATATACACGTCCAATACTGCAATACACTAGTTAAAGCCCATTATAACGGAATTAACAATGACAAATTAAATAATTGATTATTTATATACATTAATATTTTATAAAATTATGTTAATTAGATAAGAAATATTAATTAACAAATTTGTGGATATCAGAGCAAAATCGAAGGAATATCCAGGTTTTCACAAGATTTTGAAAGATTATGATGCTTAATCTCTCTTTTCAAGTATACTTCCGAATCGAAATCGTTGAACAGCTTAATCACTTCGAACCATAGCAAATAAGTTGCATACAATTCGAAACACATTCAATAAAAAAAACAATTCTCGATGTTTAATAATTAATTACAAGGCAAAAGTTCCATTCACAAGCAGCAAGTGAAGCTTAAGCTTTCGCATTCGCTTCCAATGTGTCTGTGCGTAACATACTGATGCGGATTCCGAACATTATACGGGAGTGCAAACATACTACTAACATTTCCTGAGATCAAAGATTAGTCGATTTTTTCCTCACAGAAATGTGTATCAAAATTGAATGGTATCTGTATGCAGTATCAGGCACATACTAACGTATGTACCGTAATATAGAATAAGATATCAAATTATGTTAATGTCCAAAGAAATACAAGGATAATTTGGAAAGAAATTCCATTAAAAAAAGGAATCAGGAAACAATTTTAATACCAAGATTTTCCAAGTTGCTGAATGTAAATCAGAAGACAAAAGTAAAGACAAACACACTTCACCACCAGAAGTCTAACACAAAGCCAGATTGAACTGTTTTACCAGACCAAAGTTTTTAGGTTGACAGAGACTTTTTATTCTTGGACTGCAAAAGAAACACAAGCGATAGGAAGACCAAACATGAGTTGGAAAGATAGCGTTATACAACATCTAATGATAGAAATATTGGTAAATTTCAAATAAGAAATGGAAATAATCGGAATGTGGTAATATAGATAAGAAAATGAAGGAGAAGACCGAAGAGCAGAGAGAGACGTATAAATAATGTATGAGAAGAAGGAAATTAAAGTGATGAAAGATAAGAAGAAAAGAAGATAGAAAATATGAACAAAATGAAGAGGATAAGACGATGGAGATGAAAAAATAAGCACAAGAAGATGGAAAAGAAAAAACAGCAGAGGAAGGAGAAAAATATTATCACGAAGGAGAACAAGATGAGTCGGACTTGGATACATACAAAGAAGAATACAAAGAAGGAGAAAGGGGAGAAAAAGAAAAAAAAACAAGAAAGAGGAGAAGAAAACCGGAACTGACAAGAAGGCACCTGTCCCTAGGCATCCTGTGCATAAGTGTACTCACGTAGACGATCTTGAGCACGCCGTTGCGCTGCGGCAGGCCGCGCAACCCCAGAAGGTTCTTCACCTGCGACGACATGACGTGCACGGCGGCGGCGGTGGTGAAGCCGCTGACGAGGGTGTCGCTCATGAAGACGCTGATGCCGCCCAGGCGCAGCAACCCCAGCGCCACTTGCCACAGCCCCACGCCCAGGCACAGCGCCGTCACCACCTGCGCACGCCCACAAACACGCCCACTTAGCCACGCTCCGTGCTTGCGACATATCGAGTTTTACTTTCTCATATCAACTCCCCCCAAAAACGTCTCCCATATTGTCGGAATCAAGGCCCGCAATTTGATAGAAAAACAAGTTTTGTCAGTCCTTGTCAACGAAGAACATGCTGAGTTACTGGTACTTGAGGATGGTAGTACGACAAAATCCCTGTGTATGTAGGTGGTACTCGGTAACGTAAAGGCTGGGAATACGTGGTGTATTAGATCAGAGCACGTAGCAGGAGTCGTGGGCGTCAGAGGTAGCACGTTGTCACGTCCCAACGCCCTGACACATCACCGTGACCACCTGCGCACGCCCACACACGCCCACTTACAAAAAGGCATGCTCCGTGCTTTGTACATATCGTTTTTTACTTTCTCATATCATGTCCAAAAACGCGTTTCAAATACTGTTGGAGTCAGGGTCCGCAATTTGACAGAAAAAGAAATTTTGTGGGTGCTTGATAATGAAAAACAAATTCCTGAGTTACTGGTATTTCAGGATGGAAGTACGCAAAATACCAGTGCATTTTAAGTGGTATTCGGTTATGTAAAGATTGCGAGGTCGTGGTGTGTTAGATTAAAGAAGCTAGCAGATTAGATTACAGAAGGTAGTTGTGGGCGTGAAAGGTAAGAACGTTGCCACGCCCCCATACCCAGACACAGCACCATTACCACCTACGCACGCCCACGCACGCCACACACTTAGGCACGCTCCGTGTTTTCGACACATCGGTTTTTACTTTCTCATATCAACTTCTCCAAAAAAACATCTCAAATACTGTCGTAATTAGGGTACGCAATGTGACAGAAAAACAAGTTATGTGAGTCCTTGATAACGTAAAACAACTTTCTGAGTTACAGGGATTTCAGGATGAAATAACGCAAAATTACACTACATTCTAAGTGGTATTTGATGACGTAAAAACTGGGAGGCTGTGGTGTATTAGATTAAAGAAGGCAGCAGATTAGATTAAAGAAGGTAGTTGTGGGCGTGAAAAGTAAGCTCGTTGCCACGCCCCCATACTGAGATACAGCACCGTCACCATCTGCGCACGGCCTCGCATGCTCACTTAGGCATGCTCCGTGCTTGCAATATATACATTTTTATTTTTCGTACCAACTTCGTAGAAAGACCATGTTTCTAATGCTGCTGAAATATATGTCCATAATTTGACAGAAAAGGCTTTGTGGGTGCTTCACAACAAAAAAATCCTGCGTTACTGGTATTTCAGAATGGTAGTACGCCACAAAACCCTGTACATTGTACATGGTACTCGGTGACACACCCAAACATGTAGGCACGCTCCGTGATTTCACATATCGATTTTTACTTTCTCATTTCAGGTTCTACAAAAACACGTTTCAAATGCTCCTAAAATCAGAGCTCACAATTTGGCAGAAAAACAAGTTTAGTGGCTCCTTGATGGAAAAAAATCCCGTGTTACTGGTATTACAGGATGGTAGTGCGCCAAAATCCCTCTACATTTTAAGAGGTACTTGGTGATATAAAGACTGGGAAGCCGTAGGGTCGTAGATTGAAGAAGGTAGTAGGAGTCGTAAGCATCAGGGGTAGCACGTTGTTACAGCCCCAAGCCCACACACGGCCGGCCGGCCACCCAGACCTATTGCCATCATTCGATTTTTCGGAATCAAGATCCCACAAAACATGAATTCTGGCTACACCACGTGTTAAGAGGATTTTTTTCTAAATTCAGAAACGGTATTTCTAAATGTTCTAAATTTAGAAACACTTTTTCGTTACCAGTACCCTGTAATAAAAGTTTTTCAACCGAAAAATCGCCGCTTTTTCGCGCAGCACTACATAACTTTCGCTCTACTGCGTAAGCGGTAGCGAGAAAGTAAAAGTGGATATTTCATCTTCCTATATGTAGTAAATTACTTTCTCAGATACGTAATGTTGATAGAATCGCGGGTTTGGGAGACCTTGGCAACCAAAAAGTGTTTTCTCCTCATTTTGTGTCTGTTAATCTGTTTGGGAACAACACTAACGCCAGAGTACATAGGATTTTCACCATAATTAATATACCCCGAACTATCTGATTGATGGCACAGCCCCTAGAATTTTAATTTCCTAAAAAATGGATAAATATTTCTTTCAATTGTGTGCTGGAATAGATCAAAGTATGTTTATAAAAGTAACTCTCAACCGGTTTTTAATTAAAACCTCAAATTGTTCGAAAACTTCAAAAGTTCGAATAACGTCTTTGTTCAGGTACTCCTACAACAACATTTTTGAAGAGATATAAAATTTCTTCACATGTGAGTAATTTCGCGTACTTTTGAGTGAAATACTGCCATTTTAAGAAAATACGTAGACTAGATTTTCTCAAATATGGCTTCAAATTATTTTCTTTGTAGTGAAACGCTCACTTAATAATATGGTAGAAGCCCCGTTTCTCATTAAAACCTCACAAATTTCGGTAATTGCGAAAGTTCAACCTTGTTTTTGACGCTCTGGGAAGGTTGTTAGTATGCAAGTACTTGGGAGGTCTAATGGATAAATTGGTTGGTCGCGGAATTTATGCGTGTGAGGAGTTCGACTTTCAGCCGAAACAAATATTTCTGCCGTTTCGATAAACATAGCGAATTCAACTAGCATTATAATATTACGTAACGGCTACAAATATTACGGGAAATTATATCCTGATTTTCCACCACTATTTTTTTTTATTTTATGTTCCGTAATTCAGCGTAATATATGAGTCTTCTGTAGAAATATCATAATGCATGAATTTCTATTTGCGATTTTTACACCTTTCGGCGCTTAAAGGACGCGATTCGGTTGAGTCGTATACCCCAGATTACTTTCTCAGTTTCCCCAACCATCGCACCGATGTGCTTTTCGTAAAGTCCGTTTCGGACACAATACTTACTTCTCTGGAATAATTGTAGCTCGTCAGACCATCGTTTCTTGAACCGGGTTAATGGTAGCGAATCCGCATTGACGTCTTTGTACACAAAGCAGGTTCGATGCAGGGATTATTTCTCTTGTCTATCATTCCAGCTTCGCTTCATAATTCACATAATGTCGCATTTTTGTTGTTTCTTACTATCTAATACATTCACATATTTCCAGGTATGGCTATAAAACTTTGGTAGTGGTATCATAATGAATAATAATTAGGTAGTTTAAAATTACTTACAACTTGTTTCAATCTTTAAATATAGTTTACCTAAACTGACTAACACGAGAAAAAAATCTGAGGAAACAGTAAACAACTTGCGAATTACTTTTTTTTGAATTCGGATTGTTATCTACTATCAAGTGAAGCTTCCTTGTGCATTTTTAACAAAAAAATCGAAAAAGTGAACGCCCTCTCCCACATTAGGACATATCAACCATATAAAGTGTAAAGATATAATTTATAAAAGTAACCCATCACGAGATAAGCATTCTTACGTCATTTGTTATCGACAAACAAGTGGGAAATTTTTAATATTCTATTTAGCTGTAGTAAATACATGTATTTTGGAGTCGAAATAATACCTCAAGGGATTTAGGTTTTAATCAATTCTTGAAGTAAAACTTGACAATCACACAATTATTGAAAACGTAAAAAGAAATTATATTTTGTTCGTTTGAGTTCTTAAAACTCATAAGAAACGAAATTAATAAATGTCTAAATAGCGTTGCATAATTCGTTACCCCCTTTTATCGAAACAATCGAAAAATAAACAACAAAAAAAGGCGGCGCCTCATCGCACCTGTTAAAACCGGCTTTTATCTTTGAATTCAGTAGATATGCCACCTCATCGAAAAGGAAACCTCTTGTGCATAGTTGGTTTCGAGTGGATTTTTTCCGGAAACCGGTGAGTTAAATGGTCAAAACTGAGAGTAGTTTTCCACGCATCTTCAGCTGAACACCGTATCAAGAGCTGCGCGTTTTATCGCCGGGCCGATGTGCTGGTCATGCTGTGAAGGGGGGGCGTTGCCGCCGCGATGCTTTCGGGTGATTGATGAAGGCGCGCGTGCAGGCGCCGCCGTCGGAATTGCCGATGGCCATTGACGCACTGACGCACCTCTCCGCGCGCGAGGGCGTGTGTGGGAGCAATTAACCGGTGGCTGAAGCGGGGTGGGGCGGGGCTTGGTAGGGCTGAGCG